GAAAGACAGATATCCACTCCTGAAGCAAACATTGACTCACTCTCACTGTTCAAAAGAGATAATCAAATTTCTAGTGAAGCCTTTAGCCATTTTGTACTGGACTAAATATCAGTAGTTCCTTTTGTTTATGTAATCCTATAGCTTAATTATAAATATGTAGAAATAGGGATTAAATAATGATTGAAATGATCTTGAGCATCCAATACAGTCTTTACTGGTAAGCAATTTTGAAACTTTACTTTGAAAAGAGTAGGTGAATAAAGATAGATTTTGAAAAGCACATACTGGTATGGTACTAAAACTAATAGATCAACTTTTAAATATTTGACATAATGACTTATGAGATAGCAGAAGAAATTTATAATTGGAGACAGTACATGTAAGGTATGATTTGTCTTAAATTCATGTTGCTAACAGATGTTCTATTATATTATGCTATGACTAGAGGCCTGGTGCATAGATTTGTGCACAAGTGGTGTCCTTCAGCCTGTCCAGTGGCGATCGGGTCAAAATTGGCTCTCCAACATCCTCCAAGAGGTCCCAGATTGCGAGATGGCACAGGGCCAGGCCCAGGGACCTCCCCAGGGCACAATAGGGCCAGGTAGGCCAAAGGAGGGCTTCAGGGCATGTCCAGCCCAGTTCCAATTGGACTGACCCCAGCATCAAGCTAACCTACCAGTTGGTGCATCTGCCCTCTGGTGGTCAGTGCACATCACAGCAACTGGTCAAACAGTTGGACACTTAGCATATTAGGCTTTTATTATATAGGATTTAGCAATGAGACGTGTACTTTCCCTGCTTACTAGGATTTCATCTTTAGTCTGGTTAGTGTGACCAATCCTTTTTGGACTTCCATAAATTTTATAGTTATCTAATTGTCCATTGGTTAATATTTAGGGGAAAATTCAAGTAGTGGTTTTCTTAGAGAACATGTTCTTTAATTTCTCTTTTCCCAAAAGCTCATGACTTCTGAACATATATTGCTACTTACACTTCATTTTAGCCAAATGTTCTGGCCTGGTCCCATGGGAGCAAAAGGATCCACTTATATATTTATCAAATATTATCAGATTCCCTATTATGTGTCCCAGAGCAGTGTTTGACACTGGGATTAAAAAGATGATTCAATTCTCATTGAACTAATTTTATTTAGTGGTATGCAAATGTAGGTTTCATAATATTCTTGTGGCAAAGATTGCCTCTTCAGATTTCATACAGGGAAGAAAATAAAGAGATATGTACTGCAAATCAACCATGGATCAATTATACTTAAACAAAACAAAACTAATCTCATATGCTGAGATCAGGCCAATCCTGATTAATTTTGAACAGTGGTATAGCTAATACCTTTATCTATTTAGACAGAATTTAACAATTTATTTGAACATGTCACCTAATATTTTATCTTTTTTTTTTTTTTAACTTTTTAAAACTGGAATTTATTGGGGTGACATTGGTTAATAAAAGTATACAGAAACATATTGCTACCAGAGATGTCTGAGATTTTGCTGCCTGTGGTTTCTTCTAAAATTTTTATGGTTTCACTAATTACATTTAAGTCTTTCATCAATTTTGAGTTTATTTTTGTGTAAAGTGTAAATTATGGTCTAGTTTCTTTCCTTCCTTCTTCTCTCCCTTCCTCCCTCCCTCCCTTCCTTTCTTTCTTGCATTAATAAGAAGAAATAAAAGACATCCAAATTGGAAAGGAGGAAGTAAAACTGTGATTATTGCAGATGACATAATGTTGTACATAGAAAATCTTAAAGACTACAAAAAAAACCTTATTATGTAGATTTAATAAATGAATTTGGAAATGTAGCAGGATATAAAATTAATAACCAGAACTCTATGGGATTTTTACACATCAATAATAAACTCTCAGAAGAGAAATTAAACAGTCCCATTTACCACTGAAACAAAAACAACAAAAAAATAAGATACTTAGGAATAAACTTAACTAAGGAGGTAAAAGACCTGTACTCAGAAAATTACAGGAAGTTAAGAAAAGTGATAGAGGGAGATATCAAAAAGTAGAAGAATACACTGTGTTCATGGATTGGTAGAATCAACATCATTAAAATGTCCATACTACCCAAAGCAATCTATATATTTAGTGAAATCCTTATTAAAATACCAACAGCATATTTCACAGACCTAGAACAAACTTTCCAAAAATTTTTTTATGGAATGAAAAAGGACTCCGAATAGTCACAGCAATCTCGAGAAACAAGAATAAATTTGGAGGAATCACTATACCAGATATCAAGCTATACTACAAAGCCACTGTTCTCAAAACTGCCTGGTACTTGCACAAGAACAGGCATATAGACTAATGGAATAGAACAGAGTACCCAGAAATCAACCCAATCCATTATTCTCAATTAATATTTGACAAAGGAAGCAAGAGCATACAATGGAATCAAGACAGTCTCTTCAATAAATGGTGCTGTGAAAATTGGACAGATAAATGCAAGAAAGAAAGGAAGGGAGGGAGGGAGGAAGGGAGAGAAGAAGGAAGGAAAGAAACTAGACCATAATTTACACTTTACACAAAAATAAACTCAAAATTGATGAAAGACTTAAATGTAATTAGTGAAACCATAAAAATTTTAGAAGAAACCACAGGCAGCAAAATCTCAGACATCTCTGGTAGCAATATGTTTACAAATACAGCTCCTTAGGACAATGGAAATTAAGGAGAAAAACAAATAGGACTACATCATATGAAATAAAAAGCTTCTGCACAGCAAAAGAAACCATTAACACATTAACAAGAGATAACACTGCATGGAAGAACATATTTGCCAATGATACATCTGATAAGGGGTTCATCTCTAAAATTGATAGGGAACTCATACAACTAAACAAAAGGCAAACAAACAATCCAGTTTAAAAAATGGGCTAAGGACCTAATTAGATACTACTCCAAAGTGGATCTACCAAAAGACATATGAAAAAATGCTCAAAGTTACAAATCATCCAAGAGATGCAAGTCAAAAGAACAATGAGGTACCACCTCACACCTGTCAGAATGGCTCTTATCAATAAATCAACAAATGACAAGTGCTGGCAAGGATGTGGAGAATGCAGACTGGTCCCACCACTGTGGAAGTCAGTATGGAGTTTTCTCAAATAATTAAAAACGGAACTCCCTTTTAACCCAGTAATCCCACTTCTCCTGTAATCCCACTTCCAGGAATATATCCCAAGAAACCAAAACACCAATCAGAAAGGATATATGTACCACTATGTTCATAGCAGAACAATTTACAGTAGCTATGACTTGGAAACTGCCTAAGTGCCCATCAGCAGATGAGTGGATTAAAAAATTGTGGTATGTTGCTGAAAAAAAAAAAAAAAAGATGTAACTCTTACAACGTGTCAGCAAATATTTTCTCCCATTCAGTGGGTTGTCTTTTCATTTTGTTGATAGTTTCCTTTGCAAACGTTTTTTTTTAGTTTGATGTAGTCCCTTTTATTTTTTTCTTTTGTTTCCCTTGCCAGAAGAGATATATCAGAAAGAATATTGCTATAAGAAATTACCTTTAAAATTAATAATGTTGATGTTTGGTGGAAGCTTTACCATTGGGATATTAATATTTATAGTCTTAAACTTGGTCATCCATGAAGGAAGTGGCAAAAATCATGCTCATTTCTTAGCTCTTCAGAGATTATCTAACCAACAGATTTGATTTTACTAGTGAGCAATGTGCAAATGTTCCACAGTGGGACTACTGTATTTTCTTGTGTTTAAGACTGGCAGCCAAATGGGCATCCCAGCTTCTAATCTCAGGCAAGTGAACCACTGTTTGTCTGCTCCCAATTGGGTGCTGCAGCTCACCAACTGGCAAAGCACATTTTCAGTTTGCCAGCAGTGTATTCTGAAATTACTGGGTTTCAGTATGATGTTGGTTGGTTAAAGTTTCACTCTTCTTATCAAAATGTGCCCAGTCGTGGCGGGGTGGGGCGGAGCGGGGCGGGTGGGGGTGGGAGTCAATAGTGGGGAAAGGGGAGTATGTAATACTTTCAGCAATAACGATTTAAAAAGAAAATGCGGGCCGGGACCGGTTTGGCTCAGTGGATAGAGCGTCGACCTGCGGACTGAAAGGTCCCGGGTTCGATTCTGGGCAAGGGCATGTACCTTGGTTGAGGGCACATCCCCAGTGGGGGGTGTGCAGGAAGCAGCTGATTGATGATTCTCTCTCATCGATGTTTCTAACTCTCTATTCCCTCTCTCTTCCTCTCTGTGAAAAATCAATAAAATATATTAAAAAAAAAAAGAAAGAAAGAAGAAAGAAAGAAAGAAAGAAAGAAAGAAAGAAAGAAAGAAAGAAAGAAAGAAAGAAAGAAAATGCGCCCGGCCATTTTCACAATGAATGTTACCCTTTCCTCTTAAATGCTTCTTCTCCAGCCCCTATGTCCACTACTAAAAAAAATAAAAAAAAATAAAAAATAGAAACTCTATACTTAAGGAACTTTTCCTTCTCGTCCATGTTTCCCATAAACGGACCATCGAATTAATCTCACAAGAGCAGCTCCCTAACTCGGCAGTTTCCGCTAAAACTTTCCTCAGCTCCATCTTTCTTGGTACCCCTCTTCTTCACAAGTATACACCTTTCTCACAGACATGCGACAAGAAAACTGTCATTCTGGGAAAACAATATCGGCTTCACCTAATTCCCTTTCGAAAGGGAAACGTTTGGGGCCCCGTGAACCGCTCCAGGTTAGGGGGCCGCCTCCAAGTTCCCACAACTAACGGGGCCGGGGCCGTGCGGGGCAGCGGGGCTGTAGGTGGGACCGACGTGCAGCAAAGGAAAAGCCGCCGCCCTCGGGCTGGAGCGGACGCGGCCGGGCGGGAGGCAGTCCCAGCGGCCAGCGAGTCCAGGAGCGGCCTCCACCCGCTTCCTCGCCGACCACGCGTCAGGCGACGACCGCTCTGCGTGGCGGGTGTCAGGGCGCCCGGTGTGGGGGCCGGGTACTTTTCTGCACGTCTGTCCCACCTACAGCCCCGCTGTCTCGCACGGTCCCGGGGCTGCTAGCTGCAGCTTCGGGACGCAGAACCGATGGCCGGTGGGGAAGCGGGGTCCGGCGGGGAAGGCGGGTCCGGCGGGGAAGGGGGGTCCGGCGGAGAAGGGGGGCCCGGCGGGGAGGAGGGGGCGCGGGTGCACAGCCACACCCCTCCGCTCAGCACAGGAAACTGAGGCACCGCGCGGCCCGGTCGAGGGGCGCTCCCCCCGCCCCCCCCCCGTCCCCCCGCCGCGGGCCGCTCCCACGGCCGGCTCCTTTGTCCGAGCCCGGCTTCCGGCCGCCTCCTCCCGCCCGGGCGCGGCGAGCGGCTGACGCGGCGAGGAATGCATTTCCGGAGGGAGCGGCGGCGGCGGCGGGAGGAGCGGGCGGGGCGCTTCGAGAAGGCTGTGCCGCGGGGGTCCTTTCGGGCCTGGAGGCGGCTCCGGGCCGCGAGTCCCCGCCTCTCGCCGCCGAGTAGGAGGAGGAGGAGGAGGAAGAGCCGCCGCCCGCCCCGCCCGAGAGGAGAGGCCGCGCCAGTCCGCGGGAGAGGCCGAGCGGGAGCTGACAAGCCACGGCCCGAGCCGACCGCGCGGCACCGGACGCCTCCCTCCCGGAGAAGGTAGGGGCCCGGGCCGGGCGGGCGGGGGCTTCGGGCTCCCGTGCGCGGGCCGCCGGGGGGGGGGGGGCCTTTGTGCGGGACGGCGGGGCTGGGCGGCCGGGCCGGGAGCGGAAGTGCGGGCCGCCGGGCTCCTCCGGACCTTCCCCGCCGCCCTCGCTTCCCGGCCGCCGGCGCCCGAGGCGCAGAGCCGCCCCGCGCCTTCCGACGGGGGCGGTCTGGGCGCTGTCACTGCGGGGCGTGGGGCTGCCAGCGGAGTACCCGGCCCCCACACCGGCCGCCCTGACACCGAGCGGTCGTCGCCTGACGCGTGGTCGGCGAGGAAGCGGGTGGAGGCCGCTCCCGGACTCGCTGGCCGCTGGGACTGCCTCCCGCCGGGCCGCGTCCCGCTCCAGCCCCAGGGCGGCGGCTTTTCCTTGGCCCCGCCTCGGGTTCAGTGGTTAGCTCCCAGGAGAGGGGGTTGCCCGTCCGTCCTCGGAGCGGAGCCGGTGGCCGCTCTCCGCCCGTGGCGGGTGGGTGTGGGCTGGGCCCGCCGGGCAGGCCCCGGAGGCTGGGGGGATGGGCGGCGGGGCGGGGAGGGAGCGCGGGCGGGGGTGGCGGGGCCGAGGCCAGCGCCGCGGAGGCCGGACGCCGCGCGTCCTCGCAGGGCGTCCCCCTGGGCCTCCGCGAGACTCAGTGCCCGACGCCGCCCGGGACCTGTGTATTGCGTGTCCTTTCTTATGCTTCGTAGTGATTAAGTGGTGTTTCAAACAGTACAAATATTTTATGCCTAAGCAGTTTTTACCTTACCAAGTTTGTGCTTTTGAGTCAAAACCTGGCACTAATTGGTGGGATCACTGGTAAATGATACTTTCGGCTTCATTTCCTCATCTCTAAAATGGAAACAATACTTAATACTAATAATAAAAGTAATAATACTATAATAATGATAGTGGAAAAAAAGTGCACTTAGCTCAGTGCACTTTGTGTGTATTTTCTTATTTAATCGTGGAATCGACCTAATAAGGTAGTTGCTGTTTTATCCCATTCTACAAATGAAGGCACAGGGAGCATAAGTAATTTGCATGTGGTCATCTGTCCCTGAGTGGAGAAACCAGGGGGTCTAGCTCCATGGCCCATGTTTGAATCACAGGTTACAGAATAATTGTAAAACTCATATGTAAAATGTGAAATACTTGGAGTATATGATCAAAAGTTGACTCCTTTTCATCTCCTCTTGGCATAATAAAAGATTTTAAGAACTCAATATGTAATTGATATCCTCACTGGTGAGGTTTCTTTGGCCCTGCATACCACATAGATATTTGGTGCATAGAATTGCTTCCTGGTTTTTGACTGCTTTGATGGCACAGAAATAACATGCTAAATAAATTTTGATTATGCATCTCAATGACCACTTTTAGAAATTATTAAGGAATTTTAATTGGAAGTTACCTAGTATACATTTGTGGATATCAAGGAGCAGAGGGGACAAGGAGTCATCTAAGAGTCCCATTATATTTATATTTTCAAATAATTTTGTTTCATTGATCAGTATTAAATGAGTGAAGATGAAGTGATAAAGAGGAAATGGATGAAACGAAGTGATATTTTGGTTACAGGCATTTGAGGAAAAAAGTCATTTTACTTACCCTAAAATTCAGTATAAAATGGAAGACATTATTAGAGTAGTAGTTTAAAAGACAGGATGTGGTAAATAGGAAGCAAATAAATTCTAATTTAAGTCTTCTATGTTGACTTCACAGACCTAAAATTTGAAGTTCTTACAATGTTGATTCTTTTAAAAAGAATGCTAAGTTGTATATTAAGGTTATTTTCTAATTTCCCTCAGCTTTCTGCACATGAAAAGTATAGAATCAACAGTATTGAAAATCACTGGATTTTGTAATTTTTAAAAGCCTTCTTCTTAACTTTCTGGTCACTAATTAAAATCTGCCCCCATTTACCCTCACTGAATGAATATGTAGTTCTATATTGGTGTCAATAAATTCTGGAGACTGAATGAGATCTGGTCACTCTATAAAATGAAAGTTAATCAAATAGTTTAGCACGATGCTGGTTTTCATGGAATGCTTGCCACTTAATGTCTTTTATTGTTTGGCTTGTCAAATAAATTGTGGCTCACAGCATGGGGTAGTAGCATAATCATTCAGAAGAAAACTTTTTCATTAATATCCTGTAAATGCACTGGTTTACTCTTAACTATAGTGCTAGAGTGATGAGTTTAAACATCTTACTGCTAAAAATTGCAGCACTTTGAATTCTGAGAATTTAAATTTCTGATGTGTAACAAGCTGAAATTATCTGAGAAGATATACATGGACTATTGTTAGGATCAGTCAGGTTGTTGGTAAAATACTAGAGGATTATATTGTGCAAATATGTAAATATCTCTTGTATTAGATTTATTTTTATTTTGGTTGTGTATTGTGGGGTTTTTGTGTGTTGCAAAGGTGGGAGTCTTGGGATAGGAAGGATGCTTGACAGGGGTAAGGTTAGGGAAGAGTAAAAGGTCCTGAAATAGTAACTGTATATGTAGAAGACTTTAAAAAAATGATAGTATGTACTTGTATTAAAGGAGGTGCAGCCCATAAAAACTAGAACATTAGCAACCTTAGATTATTTCAGTAGATAAGTGAAAAGAAATGTGGTATCCTCTTTTAGGAGCTGTGTGCAAAAGGAGCCAAACTGTATTTGGTAAAGTTCTGATCTTTTTAAAGATAGCTAATTCTAAGACTTTTACAGAACTGTTTTTGTTTGTTTGTTTTTTATTGTCTAAAGTTTTACATGCGTCTTCTTTTTCCCCAATTGACCTTTCCTCCCTTACCTGCAGCCATTCCCATCTCAAGCAAGCCTCTACCCTAGGGGTGTCGAACTCAATCAGAGAAGGGGCCAAAATCTAAAATCCAGCCTAAATCGAGGGCCGAATGGTTTACTGAACAGTCATAAACTGTCATTGTGATGGAAACGCAGGGGAGTGCAGTGATGACAGCGCGGTGCGGGCCACATTGCAAGGCCTGGCGGGACGGATTTGGCCCGCGGGCCTTGTGTTTGACACATGTGCTCTACCCCACAAGTGTCTTAAGTCCATTGGATATGCTAATATGCATGCATACAAGGCCTTTAGTTGCTCTCTACCCACCCTCTCCCCTACTACTTGTCTCTGAATCTATTCTTGTTCATCAGATTATGTTGATGATTATATCACTCATCAGAGGCCTGGTGCACGAAATTTGTGCACAGGGTTGGGGGGGGGGGTCAGGCCCTCAGCAAGCCTACGCCCTTTCACCGGGAGCCCTCATAGGATGGCTGACTACATTTTAAAAAAATCACCCTGAACTTAATTTTCTTACTAATTCCTCCTTTTAAACTCCCCTCACTATCACATTATGTTTCTTTTTATTTAACTATTTTCCTGGCCTTACCCCATTTTAGCATCCTTCTCTTTCCTTTCCCTCCCTCCCTTTGAACCTCCCATGCCCCCCCCCCTCCTTCCATTCTCCCCCTTCATTCCTCAAGTCTGTCTCCTTTTTACTCCTCCCCTCCACCCCCTCTGGGACCTGCTTTCAGTCCTGCCTGAGTACACATTGATATTAAAGCTTCCGTTGGGAGTGGGGGGAGCATTAACCCCCATCCCTGGCCAGGCCTTTGACACTCCCTTTTCCCTGGCTTTCCTGCCACAGTCCTCCCATTCCCTGCCTGGGTCGCCCCAACTTCTAGTCAACAAAGTACACTTAACACACCACTAAACCTAACCCTGGCCAGTGTTTTTGGGGTCCAGCCTTTAGGGATGAAAGTGGTATCTTCCTTAGTGTCTGACTCTGCCCCATCTAAGCTGCTCTTTTCCTCCTAGCATGGGGCACCTGGCTCAGTGAGGGTGGCTGAGGCCTGTGCGGCCCAGGTGCTGCTGCTGCTGCTGCTGCTGCTGCCGCTGCTGCAGAGCAGGAGCGCCTCTTGCATGGAAGGCCTTGCACCTTCCACCCCTCCATCCCAATGGCCCGCACCAGGGGCCACTGCCCTCCTCCTGCATCTGGGTGGGGCGCGCGCGCGCGCGCACACACACACACACACACACACACACACACACACACGTGCAGCTGCTCCGCCCCCCCCCCCCCCCCATGGATGCCACTCCCTCCCCCATGGAGCCCTGCATTTCCTTCCCTTTTCCATTCCTGCCTCTTTGTCTTGTTCCTTTTCTGTATTTCTGTTTCTCCTCTCAGTCTGTCTGCATGCAGGCCTGCCTTCCTCTCCCTCTCCTTTCTTATCCGCTCCTATTGTATCCAGTCCTACCTACAATGGGCCTTGCAGCTGCCTGAGCAGGGGGTGGGGACAGCCTGCTGAATGGTTGTTATGTGATGGCATCCTGGACAATTTACATATTCTTCTATTATTAGTATAGATAAGAGTGAGATCATGTGATATTTATCTTTCTCCGATTGGCTTATTTTGCTTGCTTAGCATAATGCTCTCCAGTTTCATGCATGCTGTTGCAAATGGTAAAGGTTCCTTCTTTTTTTATAGCAGCATACTATTCCATTGTGTAGATGTTACCACAGTTTTGTTTTTTTGTTTTTTTTTCCTTTTATTGTCTAAAGTTTTACATATGTCTGTCTTTTCCCCAATTGATCCCCCCATCACCAGCCATTCCCACCCAGGGCAAGCCCCCCATATCTGTGTCTATTGGATATGCTAATATGCATGCATACAAGTCCTTTGGTTGCATTCTAAATGCCCCCCTTCCCCACAAACACACCCCATTTGTCTCTAGATCAATCTATTCTTGTTCATCAAATTAAGTTGATCATTATATCCCACATATGAGTGAGATCATGTGATGTTTATTTTCTCCAACTGGCTTATTTTGCTTAACAATGTTCTCTAGTTCCATCCATGTTGTTGCGAGTGTTAGAAGTTCTTTTTTTTTTTTTTTTTTTTTAATAGCAGCATAGTATTCCATTGTGTAGATGTATCACAGTTTTCTAATCCACTCATCTTCTGATAGGCACTTACGGTGTTTCCAAATCTGAGCTCTGGTGAATTGTGCTGCTATGAACATAGTGGTGCATATATCCTTTTTGATTGGTGTTTTTGTTTTCTTGGGATATGGTCCTAAAAGTGAGATTACTGGTTCAAATGGGAGTTCCATTTTTAACAAAACACCATACTGTTCTCCACAGTGGCTGTACCACCAGCGGTGCAAGGGGGTTCCTTTTTCTCCACATCCTTGCTAGCACTTGTCATTTGTTGATTTGTTGATGAGAGCCATTCTGACAGGTATGAGATGGTGTCTCGTTGTTTTGATTTGTAGCTCTTGGATGATTAGACTTTCAGCGTGTTTTCATATGTCTCTGGGCCTTCTGTATGTCCTCTTTCAAAAAGTGTCTATTTAGATCCTTTGCCCATTTTTTTTATTGGATCGTTAATCTTCCTTTTGTTGTATGAATTCTATGTAAATTTTGAAGATAAAACTCTTATCAGAAACATCATTGGCAAATATGTTCTCCCATGCATTGGGTTTTCTTGATTTTTTTTTTTTCTGTGCAGAAGCTTTTTATTTTGATATAGTCCTATTTGTTTATTTTCTCCTTAGTCCCCATGACATGTCTGCTATTTTGCTGCCTATGTAGTCTTGTAGGATTTTTATGGTTTCCCGTTCTATATTTAAGATATTTAGCTATTTTGAGTTTGTTTTTGTTATGGTATAAGTTGGTGATCTAGTTTCATTTTTTTGCATGTACCTGACCAAATTTGCCAGCACCATTGAAGAAACTGTCTTGACTCCATTGTATGCTCTTGCCTCCTTTGCCAAAAATTAATTGAGCATAATGGCTTGGGTTGATTTCTGGGTTCTCTGTTCTGTTCCATTGGTATGTATGTCTGTTCTTTTACCAGTACCAGGCAGTTTTGAGAACCGTGGCTTGTTAATATAATAGCTTGATATTTGGTATTGTGATTCTTTGTTCTTTTTTTTGGTCAGGATTGCTGTGGCTATTTCGGGTCTTTTTTTTTTAATTTCAGATGAATTTTTGGAGAGTTTGTTCTACAGAGTTAAGTTTTATTAATAGAATAATGTGGGTTTTTAAAAGTCAGCTATTTTTAAATTTTATTTTTTGTCTTTGGCTTTAGAGAAGATAAGGTTAACTATATTTAGCAATATGTCAAAGTATGTGTGTATCATTTCATCATGAAATATATGTGTGTGAATCAAAGAAAACATTTCAAATGACTATTTGAAGCAGTTTCTTTGTGTGTATTTCTTACTATAGGGACATTATACAGTTTCTAAAAATGTAGGTTCCTGAACTTTAGGAATGTTTTCATTAAGGTTTATAGTATCTTACTATATTGCTGTAGATATACATGTATTTTAACTTATAAGTAAATATGCATATATTTTGGGTGTCTGTATGTATGCTCAAAATATTTTCTTAAATATATTTTTGAGTTCAGATAGGAAGGAAGAGGGAGAGAGAGAGAGAAACATCAATGATAAGAGAGAATCATTGGTCGGCTGCTTCCTGTACTCCCCCCATTGGGGATCAAGCCTGCAACCCAGGCATATGCCCTGACTGGGAATCAAACTCAGAACCCTTCAGTCCCAGGCTGACACTCTATGCACTGAGCCAAACTGGCTAGAGCTGCTCAAAATAGGTTTAGTAATAAAGGTGAGTGATCCAAAAGCTTTGGAGATCATTGATGTGTGTACGAAATGATTTGGTTGGGGGTACAAGAACTACTGAATTTAGGAGGGAAAATTGATAAAACTTGGAGTTTGACGTAAGAGAGATGAGAGAAATCCAGTGCACAGATTTCTGATTAAATGATGCCATTTACCAAGATTGGCAATATGACAAGGGAGTGATCTAGTTGACTGAGGGAGGGGGAATGAATTTATAATAATGCTGAGGGGATTATTTTAAGGTGTGCATGGGACATACACACATAGAGATGTTTAGAGTGTAGAATGGCAGCACACACAACAAAAGTCTGGTTGGTAATTCTTAGTCTGTGAATGCTAGATGAAGCAATAGGCTGCAGGTGAAAATACCAATAGAGAGTGTAGAGCAAGCATGTCTAACTCAAAAGCTAACATGGGCCAAATAAACAAGGTTTAAGTTTATGTGGGCTGCAAAAAATAAAAGCTTTAATTTTCATAGAAAAATAGGTTTATTTTGATAGAGACATGCTGAATACAGAGGGCTGACTAAATGAGTAATCCTTAACATAGAATAATAGAACATTTCAATAAAAATTAATATTTTTCCTTGGACATTAACCTATCAGACACTGAATAACCATAAATTAATAAGCATAACGCAAATAAACCTATTTATCTTGTTCTTTGAAAGCAAAATATTTCCTTTTGCACACACCAAACAAATCAGTTGAAGACTAATTATGTGGCAATTGGCTTGCTGAAATATTTGCTGCTAGTATTAGTGGAGAGAAATGGTGTGCCTGCACGTAAGGTGAAGAAGGGAAATGAATGCAACATGATTATAGTAATCAGTCATTAGCGAATGTTGTAGTTCTTTATTAATAACTAGAGGCCCAGTACATGGATTCTTGCACCAGTGGGGTCCCTTCGTCGAGATCAGGCCAAAACCTGCTCTTGGACATCCTCTGATTGTGAGAAGGTGCAGGCTGAGGAACCCCACTGGTGTATGATCAGGGCCAGGGAGGGAAAAAGGGAGGGCTGCAGGATGTGTCTGGCCTGTTTCCCAGTCCCTGATGGGCCAGACCCTAGTAGCAAGCTAACCTATGGTCAGAGTGTCTGCCCCCTAGTGGTCAGTGCGTGCCATAGCTACCAGTCGAATGGTCTAATGCTCGCTTA